GCAACGCGGAAATTACTATCGCAATGCGAAATGAAAATCGCAACGAGAGAATCGCAATGCGAAATGAAAATCGCAACGCTAATTTCGCATTGCGATAGTACTTTTTGCCTTCAACATAATGCAGATTGAAATCAACAAAATCAACCATTACATTTCAATCAATTAAACAAGCACAAATAAGAATTATGTTAACATCAATTAAACAAATCAACTTTTACAAATCACCTTTTACAAATCAATTAAACAATCAAAAAATAAGCAATAATTATTAGAGAAAATAACACTTCTACTATTGAATCAACCTTTGCAGCCATACATCATTTTCACGCAGCTCACTTCTGAGATTAACCTGCATAAACCAAACATTTGCTCAAACAACACTTTCTACACATCTAAAACCTACAAACAACAAATTATTGAATTCTAGGTACTTAACCAAACATTTTCAAACCACAAGCCTATAAACATACCAATTGTTTATGGACATTTTTATAACGCGGATGCAGGTAGACAGCGTCTCGTATATATCGATCTAGCCATATAATGTCGAAACCACAAGCCTACTGCAGCTCTATCTATATCGGTGGGAGGTAGATACTTTATACTTCCTGTGATCAAACGGTCCAACGCCAAGCATACGAGAGGACCACAATCCCCTCTGGGTCCTTTCGTTTGTTGTGGTGCGGTCTCGTCTCTGCTAACTGTAATATTGAGCTTCTTTGGCTTCTTGTTTCCAGAACGAGTCCAATAATTTATCGCATCCAAGTATTTAGCCAAATAAGAGCTCCATCCCTTAATAATATCTCTTAAATCAGCCAATGATATGTAATTTATCATGCTGTCATATACTATTGCCTTAAGGGATGGGATCTGAAGCTCGACGAGAAGCCAATGGTTACGTTCCAAAACAGGGATAAACACCTGCAATCATAAGTAATAATTCATTCATTTGCACACTTATTTATGAATACCTTTAAACTCAATCTAAAATAAACACTAACCTTATCGACCTCCCACCATGCAGGATAAAGTTTAGCTTGTCCATTGCCCAACGCAAATGATTCATCTCGTTGATTCTTCAAGTGAACGGCGTTAAAAGACGTCGGCATAATTGTATACCGTGTATTTCTTTTATTTTCCTTAAGTTTCCTAATTATTAGAAGACGTGACACCCACGCATCGATATGCTGTTTTACAAAAAAAGACATATATTAGTAACTTACATAAATTTACAAAAATAATAATCAAATGAAAATATAAGAAAAATATAAGACTTACCCCTCCATCGAAATAGCCATTGTCTTCGACCCCTAATAATACGCCCCACCAAGACCGATCAAGCAACAAATAGATATCATCATTGAGCTTGCATATGTCAGTGAAACACCCCTGGCTTCGCTCATGTAGATAAAAATCAACTGCGGTCTTAGCCCAAAGGGTGTTATCCAGAATTGTGTCCGGTAGTTGTTTCCTCTCCTCTTCAGATACCGGTATGGTACTGGCCGATAACTCATACGAGAGCCAACTTGAATCCATCATGTCCGGCACGTCAGAGGGTTTCTCAAGAATCCTACATATGACGCCATGTGAATCGGGCTCTTGAATGGTGGGAGGGACCTCTTCAACAATGACAGTGGCCTCTTGAACGGTGGGAGGGGACTCTCGAGGAATGATAGGGGCCTTTTCAACGATAGGAGTGGACTCTTGAGGGATGATAGGCGAGTCGGGCTTCTTCTTGCGGTGTCTTCGCACTATTGGGGTATACGGAGACTTAATAGCACGTGCACGCCGTCTGATGCGTGAACTCTGTCGTGCAAGAAAAACCCGACGTAAAGCATCCACCTTATCGGTCCGCTAAATAAAAATACAAATATCAGTAAATAAGCAGACATGATATTTAAACAGTGAAAACAAAGATAAATATATTTCAAACTTTCAACCAAAAGACAAAACAAAGACAAATACTAACTTCACAGTGTTAAAGTAAAAAGTTTAGCAGTTTTGGCAGCAACCGAATAAATTTACTAAGCAATCTAAGTGAAATGGTTAATTTAAGTGAAATTACGAGTAAATTTATCATCAAGTTAAATATGGAAAATCTTAAACTTACCTCGTTGCGTAGAGTATAAACCTCATTCTGCAACGATACTACCATCTCACGTAGAGCGGCAACCTCACCACGTAAAGTAGACACCTCCACATGCCATGCACCATCGTTATCGCGTAGAGTACCGATCTCCTCACACAAGGCATTGACCTCATCACGTAACTCCCTTGACTCATCCCGTGGAGGTGGAGAACATGGAGATAGAAGTCGTGGCATCTTTGTCGGTCGCCTATCATGAGGTGATGGTGGAGAAGAGACTCGATGATGTGACGGGATAGGTGATTGCTCTCGTTGTAGAGGTGTATAGTCGGGTCGATCAGGTGATGGCTCTGGGTGAGGTGATGGCTCTCGAAGTGGAGGAAGTGGAGGCTGCTCATCATTCGTGCCATCAAAAAAACGCTGACTAGCTTGCCACCAATCAGTGGCAAGCTCAGCCTCCGTGGGTGTCAGTCTCATTAATGGAGTGTTGGCCTCCTAAAAATATAAAAACTAAAACAAAGTTAAACGTCTACTATTAATAACTTGTTTATATATGATAGTATTTGTGTTAACTTACATTATTTATTGTCGCATATGGTATTAAGTCTTCCCAATCCAACATACGTTTCCTCTTCCAGGAAATAGCCCTAGGAATATCATCTGAGGATTTTAATGCATATGTCCGCATGCTGGGGAAAGCCTCGAATATCCAAATCTACAAACAATATAATAACAAACATTAGTAATTGTTAAATAATTAATTATAATTTTGAAAACATTATATAGAAATTCTTACCTTAAAGGCCCAAACAAAGCCTGACAAATTGTATTTCGACCCATCGCCCCGCAAACTTTTGCGGTCATCAAAGGCAGACGACAACTTAGTCCAGGTAGCTTTCCATATATACGAACCCCACGGAAACAGATTCCATGCATTTAGGTCCTCTACCAATAATATTAGCTCCTGAGGAATAGGTTGTCTGGCCTCTCTGCCTAAAAAGCCGGCATACAAAAGTAGTAGAAGGCATACTCGGAAAACATCGACGTCATTCATCCGGGTAAAACCATCTTTCTTATTAAACAATTTCTTCATGTCGTCGACGTGTAAGTTCGGCTTCTCTATTGACTCATCAGGAAAAACCCTGGATAACCATGATGGGCGGGTGATATGACGAGTGTACCGGCCTACATCATCGTGTCCGAATCGTAGACCAGTGATTAAGCAGAACTCCTTCCGCCCAAAACAAGTATACGCCGGTGGAAAATGAAACCATATCTCTTCCTCACCACGTTGTATACTGTCGGGTAGATCGCTAGTCATGGTCTGAAGCCACAAATGGGTCAAACTAGCATCTCCACCCGGATGCTGTACTCTCAGCCATGGCCCGAAGCAGGTTTCTTCAAACAATTTTCTTTGTGCAGGTGAAAGCTTCGAAGCAATTGTAGTGGCTAGGCTAACTTTATTCCTTAATGTCAATGAAGCCGAAAAAAATTTCTACAAAAAAACAATAAACATACCAAGTTAGATATACCAAAAATTACACTGTCAAGATATACCAAAAACAAAACAATAAACATAAATAGTAGTTTATTCTTGAAACTAAAATTTGCAACACTGTTTTTGTCTTTTGGTTGAAATGAAAATCGCAACGAGATAATGAGAATCGCAACGCGGAAATGACTATCGCAACGAGAGAATCGCAACGCGAAATGACTATCGCGACCAGACAATCGCAACGCGAAATGAAAATCGCAACCGCGAAATAAAAATCGCAACGCGAAATGAAAATCGCAACGCGAAATGAAAATCGCAATGCGATTTTGGTTTCGCGTTGCGATTTTTATTTCGCGTTGCGATAGTTATTTCCGCGTTGCGATTTTCATTCTCGAAACTATTCTTCTTCTGCATTACTTCAACCAAATGACAAAGCAAAGACAAATACTAACTTCACAGGCTAAACAGTTTAGCAGTATTGGCAGCAATCGAATGAATTTAATAAGAAATCTAAGTGAAATGGTTAATCTATTATTGAAATTACCAGTAAACTTATCATCAATCTCAATATGAAAAACCTAAAATAATGCAAAAATTTCAAAATAAAAATAAAAAAAAACTAACCCTCGGAGGTTGATTTTCCATTTCTGAATGATTGTGAGGGATTTTTGACTGTGAATGGTTGTGAGGGATTTCGCCGGCGATGGGGACGGAAATCTTCGGAGATGAGGACGGATTTCGCCGTAGAGAGTGAGAGATGGAGATGGGACTGAGTGTTGTGTTTTTGGGTTTGAGGTTATGAGTTGCGATTACTGTGGACGGTTCAGTTTCCGATTTATTAAGAAAAAATTCGTGTTTGGAATTTGAAAAAAAAATACGCGTTAATACGAATGGCGCTATGTAAATCGCGTTGCGAAAGTCAGAATCGCGTTGCGAAAGTCAGTATCTCGTTGCGATTTTGTATTATCGCATTGCGATAGTAAGTATCGCATTGCGATAGTCAGTATCGCATTGCGATTTTCCCAATTCGCATTGCGATTTACTTATTCGCATTGCGAATTGGGGAAATCGCAACGACATTGTATACCATCGCAACGCGATTTCCAACTATCGCAACACGAAATGCAACGCGAATTTGCGATAATGGAGATCGCGTTGCGAATTAGCGATCGCATTGCGATTTTGTTGGTCATTTTGGCAAATCCGGAAAAAGTTGGTTAAAATCGTATATTATATGGGATTTTTGGTCACTGAGGTTATTTTCTCTTTATTAAATGTGCCTTATGAATTAAAAGAAGTTAAATTTTGAGATCCTTTCTAATGTTTGTGCCCCGGTTTTCCTCTTACAATGGTGTTTTTTTCTTCTTTTAGTTGCATGTAAAGAAAGTTAGCATCATAACAATGTCTTATTTGTGTCAGGTCGGCTGTGTAACGGGAATCTGCTGTACTTGTTTCTTGATAAGATGCACCGTGGTGAGCTTTATTCGATTTATAAGCAAATACTACATTCATCTTATATATATACGCACACAACAAAAATTGGTTCTTTTGGTTTTATTTTGCAGTTGACACTCTCGGCCTATGACGTGAAAGCTGATCTTGATGTTTTAGATCATCCCATCCTGAATCTGATCTATTACATGGTACATCTGATTTCTGTAGTGTTCTACTCATTTCTTCATGCTACAATTAGATGGATTTCCGGTCACATTAGACCGGTTTACTTGCTTAAAGACTCAATATGTTTTGATACGTAATGATCTTCCTTTCTTGATAACTAGGGCATTTGATCAACATCAATTTGTCGAAGAGAACTTACCCACTTTTCATTTTTTTATTTGTTGTGGGAGTAACAGTTGGTAGAACTTCTTCCTTCAGCTTTGGTGCTGTTCATTCTTCGAAAATTGCCTCCGAAACGCATCTCTGTACAATACCACCAAATAAGGTGAACTGAATGCATGTGTTGTACCTGCAACTCCAAGGATTAACTGCTCCAGAAAAACGAGAGCAACCCGGTCGAATCTTGTTCATGATCATTTATGTAGTTCGGTAAATGTCTGTTGACAGAAATCGAACTGCTCATGAGCGATTTGAGCGCTTATGATCCATAGTCTAATTTTACTATCACAGGACCTAAACATATTGTAAACCCTAAATTGCCTCTATCTTCTCAATGGATTGGTAGTCCAAAAAATAAATATGGGCTGCACTTTTATATTAATTAGAAACAAGCAGAGTATTGAGTTATACATTAGAGCCTAAAAGAGTTGGATATTATATTTACAGACAGAATGAAGTTAGACACCTTCCAAAATGCTGCAACGGAAAAGTTGGTTGAATATCCCGGGTGGCTATTCAAATGCAAAAGGCATGAAAGCGTCGTCATCCAAAAGAGCATCGACGTTGAGGTCTTCATCACCATTAGCCACTTCTGTACTGTTCAGAACCATGTTGCAAGCCTGTAGAAGAGTATCACCAAACTATTCCAGTCATTTATATACATATTCACAATCAAAACAGGTAAGTTTCTGAATAATCAAAAAGCTTGTCCAGAATCCACTAGTTGAAGCAACAGCAAATAACAATGGCAGGGCAAGTTCAAGGTGCAAAGAACTATCTTCGGATCGGCTTATTGTTACGTTTATTGAACATCATGTACACCTGCTGAATTGCCAACTTTACTGAAATAGAAATCTATGTCAAGCTGAAAAGATATACACCTTGTTTTCTTGAATCCCTTGAACCAATGTCAGCAGCGTACGATATTGACCTTGTCCTTCAGGATTCTGAGCCATGGACTTTACCCTAGTAAGTGCCCTCTGCAGCCTTTCTTCAGTTTGTTTTCTTCCCTCCTTAAGAAAATCATAATCATCCTGGGGGCGTGCACTGTGGCTCAGGTTCCTTGGTAATTGCATCCCGTCGAAATCCTCGCAAACCACTCCCTTTACGCCTTCACCGTAAAATAACTTTCTCCAGAATTCCCACTGACCAGATGATCGTTCTATACTGTTTCCTTACTTGGTGTCCTCTAACATGGGCCTTCAAATTCAAATTTTCGTAAGGATAAGGTGGTAAATAAAGATCAACAGATCCGAAAACTGAAGTGTTAAATTTCACGTTTATGATGATGAAGTCCCCCCAGTTTTTTTTATCAGTAAATGTCAACAAATGAAGCAGGTTATGGCACACGAGCCCACAGAAGTCGCGTGGGAACAGAGATGGACCAAGGGGTGTGGTTGCACCCTAAATATTTTAAAATTTCTTATATTTTAAATTTTTTCTTTGTATTCTCTATTGATTATCTAATTTCACATTCTTGAAATTTTATAGCTTCGCGTCCCTAATTTTTTTTTAATATAATTTCTTAAATTTACACCCTTAACATAAATTCTTACGTCTGTGTCGGCGTGGGAAAATCGTCTATGAAACCATCACTATATTAAAAAGTCGTCACTGAAGGATTCCAGACATTGGATGATCTAATCCCTTTCCTGAGAGAGAAAAGGAAAAAAAAAAGGAAAATATAACTAAGATACCAACAAGACAAGTAGCAATGAACCTGAATTTTGACAATTCTTTGCCGGATCAACAAGAATTCTTTTCTTTTCTTCCAACCTCAGAACTTTTTCTGGATTTGTGTTGCAGCAGTATTAATCATCACATCACTTTGCAATGGCCTGCGAGTCTTAGTTGTTAGAAGTGAAATGGCGTGTTCATCAGGCACACAATCACCAGACTCGCGCAACTGTTTCCACTGGAAAGATTGCATCCTGAACATTTGGTGTATACGATCAGCAGCTTGTGTGGCATTACATACAGCAGTAATTGAGTCCGTCAATGACGTCTTGCACATTGCCATAATTCAGAGAAGTTGGTATTCGATCTGAAACTGTTTGTATAGCTTCCCTTTGATCATTCATTGTGAGAAAAGAAAGGTAACTGGTCAAGGAATATTCTGCAAGGAAACCAGAGATTCCTTTTTGTTCATTACCGGAGGCCAAGTCAGCAGGAGTTCTTCCCAAAGGAAATTCTGGAGATGGATCCGAAAGAGCTCCAGGAGCTGCTCCAAGGGAGACTAGTATCGCAACAGTTTGTTCTCTGAGATTTGCAAAATAAAAATAATCGTACACAAAAAACATTATAAGTTAAGCTTCTAATATGGCATTTAATTTATCACAAGCCTTTCAACAAATGCAACAAAACCTGAGATGTTATCAAATGATTTCATAACCAAAGAGTACGTAATCAGATTACATCTAATTCAGTCGGAATTGTCAGGCATATAAATTATAGGCTCTAGGCCAGCATATAACACAAACAAGAGTAAGTTTGTGTTGGAAATAAAACACTCACACAAACAACTTTTATTGAAACTCAAACAAATATTACAAGAGTACTCTCACTCAAAAACAAGAACTACAACTCACTCTTATAAGACTTTGCTTCTTCACTCACTTAGAAGCTCTTAATTTTTCTTGATGCTTAAAACTAAAATGGGAAGGGGTATTTATACTACTCAAGAACAATCCTACACCACACAAATAAATTAATTTAAACCATTACAAATTCAACAAATATCTAACTCTCACCTAACTAAATTGATGTAAGCAATGACATCATTAATTAAATGATGTAAGCAATGACATCTTTAATTAAATGATGTAAGTAATGACATCAATTTAGTTTGGGTTTGGGTTTAGGCTCTCATAATGGATCAAGTTTATGATCCAACACCCTCCCTTAAACTTGATCTCGTGACCCCTAGTAGGTTCCTTAATCTTAAGAAGTCTTCGCTGGTCAGTGGCTTGGTAAAAATATCAGCAACTTGACCTTGTGACTTCACATATTCAACTTTCACATCTTTTCTTGCAACACACTCCCTTATATAGTGGTAGCGAATATCAATGTGCTTGCTTCGATCATGGAATACTGGATTCTTCGCTAAGGCAATGGCTGACTTGTTGTCGACACAAACCTTGGTAGGCTCTTCTTGTATCAAACCAATCTCCTTCAATAGATTTCTAAGCCAAATTGCATGACAAACACATGAGGTAGCAACAACATATTCCGCTTCACAAGTGGACAATGTGACAATCGGTTGTTTCTTTGACATCCATGTGAATGCAATATCTCCCATGAAAAATACGAATCCAGTAGTGCTCCTTCGATTATCTATGTCTCCACCCCAATCACTGTCGCTATATCCAACAAGCTTGTAATCATTAGAAACTGAATAGAACAAGCCAAAGTCAATTGTACCTTTCAGATAGCGAAGAATTCTCTTTGCAGCTTTAAAATGGGTGGTTGTTGGGGATTCCATGTAGCGACTAACCAATCCAACTGCGTGAAGAATATCGGGTCTCGTGCAAGTTAGATAGCGTAGACTTCCTACCAAACTTTTGAAGAATGTTGGATCTACACTTTCGCCTTCTTCATGTTTGGTCATCTTGATCCCGTATTCTGCCGGTGTGCTTATTGGCTTACAGTTCTCCATCTTGAACTTCTTCAGTATCTCCTTTGCATAGCTTTCCTGTGAAATGAAAATTCCATCATTTTGTTGCTTAACTTCAATGCCAAGGTAGTACGCCATGAGCCCCATGTCTGTCATCTCGAATTCTTTCATCATCACATCCTTGAATTCATTAAACATGCTTGGGTTGCTTCCAGTGAAGATCAAATCGTCCACGTTGAGGCACACGATCAAAATATCTTCATCTTTGATCTTGATATATAGAGCATGCTCGTAGGGACATTTGTTGAAACCATTCTCTTGGAAGTACTTGTCGATTCGGCTATTCCATGCCCTTGGTGCTTGTTTTAGCCCGTAAAGAGCCTTCTTCAACTTCAACACCTTGTCTTCATGCCCTTTGACTTCATAGCCTGATGGTTGCTGAATGTAAAGTTCCTCTTCAAGAACTCCATTTAGGAAGGCGGACTTTACATCCATCTGTTGTATCTTCCACTTGTTTTGAGCTGCCAAAGAAATGATTAGTCTGATAGTCTCCAATCGAGCAACAAGAGCAAATACCTCATCATAGTCAATTCCAGCCTTTTGACTATAGCCTTTAGCAACTAGCCTCGCCTTGTGCCTTTCAATCTCTCCTTTGGCATTTTGCTTTGTTTTGTACACCCATTTGACACCTATCGCCTTATGTCCCTTGGGAAGTGAGGTAAGTTCCCATGTGTCATTCTTCTCGATGGCCTTGATTTCTTCGTCCATCGCATCTCTCCATTTCTTTTCTTGTACCGCTTCTTGAAAGCTCACTGGTTCACAATCGGCAAACAGACAAAATAATGTAAGATTATCTTGTCGTTCAGTTACCTCATAGAGATCTCTAAGGCTTCTTGTGCGTTGCACAACTCTTTCACTTTGACTCCCACTTGACGATGATGAAGGTGATGAGTCTCCTTGAGTGGTTGATGTTGGTGAAGTGGGTGGAGTTGCAAGCTCTTGTTGAGATTCATCTAGTTGCTCCCTCATTGTCTGCTCATCTTCTTCAAACTGAGGAAAGAAATTGAAGTCATCTGTATGAGAGTTAAAATCCCATTCTCCTTCTTCGTTGAAGACCACATCTCGACTAATCACAAACTTCTTATTGTCTGGATTGTACAACTTGTAGACCTTCGAATTAGCATCATAGCCGATGAAGATAAAACTCTCGCTTTTATCATCAAGCTTCGTTCTTCTCTCGTCTGGTACGTGAACATGGGCTATACTTCCAAAGGTTCTCAAGTGGGAAATGCCAGGCTTTCTTCCACTCCATGCCTCTTGCGGTGTCTTTCCCCATACACTTCTTGTTGGAGATCGATTTGACAAGTAGACTGCACACGATACTGCTTCCGCCCAAAATTCTTTGGGTAGTTTCTTGCTTTTGAGCATGCTTCGTGCCATGTCGAGGATTGTTCTATTCTTTCTTTCTGCCACACCATTTTGCTGGGGGGATCTAGGAACTGTCATTGGTCG